CCATTATACCCTGATTTCCCATTTTCAATGGGTTCAGGGTATAAAAAGGAAAAAAGAAAAAAGCAAAATAGGAGCAAGCCAATGTAAAATAAAAATAAATGTAAGCAGCTGAATCGAGTGGGGGATTGCCTAGGTTCAGCCTCTGTCCGAGTTATGGCCGCTAGTTAGACGCACTAGACACACACACACACACACACACACAGACGCGCATTTCACTATGGCTATGCTTGGGCGTAGGTGTGGGCGTGGGCGTGGCCAGCGGCTGAGTTACTTACGCCTCAATGCAGCTAGAACTCATGTGCCGCAATTGCGGTAAAATATGTTTGCACAAAAGGAAATCGCCAAAGCCACGTGTGCGGGAAATGCTGAATTTGTCTGCCGGGCGCACTAAAACAAAGCTGCGCTCGTGGGTGGCCACGGCCACGTCCAGCATGCACCACCAGAGCCTGCTCCTGGACAATTTCATAAATTCCACAATTCAGAAACTGCGCGATGTTAGATAAATGCAAAGATTAATAGAGATATACATATATAAAATGAATTGAATAAATCAAAAAGAAAAAAGTTTAATACTTATTTCTTTTTTATTTATAAGGAAAAATATATGCTAAAATATTTCTAAACTCAAATTTCGTAATTTAGCGATTCTAGAGAGATTTCTTCTGTAATTAAAAATTGTTAGAATTTCTTACTTTCCGAAATTAAGTTCTTGAGGCTTCAGAAATTTCGCAGAAATTTGTAAAATTTGTATCTCTATTTGGCTTTTCCATAGAAAACTCGAGCTTTGGAAAATCAGATTCTGTAATAACTGAAACAATTACCAGCAAATGCCTAAATTGGCAGAATGACTTTTCGAACTGGCAATTGTTTGCTTTAGCATATTGCATAAGCTCGGCCAGAAATAACGGTAAACAAATTTGCCTGAACACACATCGAAAGCAGAATGAGTTTATGCTCCCTGTTAACTCTTTCGTGTGTTGAAAAGGAATTTAATTAGCCGGGATTCGGGCGAGAAATCGGCTTTCGGAACACATATAAATGCGCACTCGTCCTGCTCGCGCTGGGCATTGCTGCAATATGGCTGCCCGAGCACCAAAAACTATGCTGTGTGTCCGTCCGGCACTTCCGTTGCCGTACGCTGTCTCTTTTCGCTTTCGTCGGTGTCGTCGTTGTCGTCGGTGTCGTCGCTGTCGTCGCTGTCGACGTCTGGGCTGGACTTTTGGGAATATTATTGAAAAGTTTTACCGCAAGCTGTGCTGAGCTTGGATGCAGGCATAGCCACGCTGCACCACTGTGGTGCACTGGCAGCAAAAACAAACGTATTGTTCGCTGCCTGCTGCAAAAACGAGGATTAACAAAATTCCTTATTTTTTTTTTCGTTTCATTTTTTGTTCTTTTCTCTGTTCAGTTCAAAGTTTCAGTTTTGTTGCAACTTTGGCCACAGACACCGACACCACACGGCCACTACACTATGCCACACCCGGCTCAATACAGCTGCCCACACCTAACTGCGGGACAGTACATAAATTTCCTCAGCAATTTTCAGGCATTTTGATACTGCAGCTGCATTTGCTTTGTCCCCAATCAGACAACAACGGACAATGGCAAAACTTCTACGACAAGCTAATGCGCTTCACAGCAAAAATCGAAGACTATGAAAAGTATAGATTTTAATATCATACTTGCTCTCAAGCCTAATTCCAATGCTAAATTTTATTTTTAATTTTATAGTAACTCTTTTTTTATTAATCCATCAATCCATCTGCTCATCCATTATAAATCATAGATAATTTTCTTTATATCAATATACCCACTTAACCTGCTGTACCGCACTTTTCAAGTAATATTCACGCATAGGTGCTTCCAACTTTTGCCGTTTTCTTATTTTCTTTAAGTTCAATTGCAGGCAATAAGTTTTCCATTATTTATTGCAAAAGTTGTAAGACGCAATAATTTAAGCGTATGAGAAGCGCAGAAAAGAGTTCGCCGCACTGACTGCAATCGAAGACTCTGAAAAGGCAGCAAATATATTTCATTTAAGAGCAGTTTAACTAAACTGCAAACTACCTGTAATTCCAATGCCATTTGAAGATGATTGATATATCTGAGCCAGACTCACATTTCGCACAAAATAATAGCTCAAAAATAGATTTTATGCCAGAGAGCAGGGAATTAATTTACTCAAAATGGAGCATTGTCCACTTCATCAAACCGAAACAAAAGACAATTGTGTTTTGGAGTGTGCAGCATCGAGGAACTGAATTGCTCCATGCTCCAGGACATGCAATTGCCAGCGCTCAGGTTTTGGGGCACAAAATGAAATCCATCAATTATAGAAAATCATAGTCAACGTTGTGCCAGCCTGACGGCTTAGTAGTCCATATGGAAGAGCTTTGTGGGTGAGCTTGTGTCAAGTAGTTGCCAATCAATTTTTGGCATTGTTACGGCCACTGCCTACTTATGCCCCCGCCCACCGCCCAGCGCCCAGCGCACCCCGACCCGCACAGGCGACCCACTGACCGACCGACCGAGCGAGCCATCATCAACGGTTTTGTGGCAAACAGGCACGTCGATTTCAATTGAATGTGGTGCAGCCAACTACCGGTCTGGCCACTGCTCTGGCCATTGTCCAGTTCGTCCACTGTAGCCAGTGTCTGCGTTGTCCCAGTCGCAGATGCAGTGTGTGACACTCGGCACACTGTGGCAAACACAATCACAGGATGCGCCCACCTCGCCTCACTGCCAGTTGACACTTTGGGCTCTGCCACAGCCACTGCCACAGCCACTGCCACAGCCAGTGCCACTGCCACCCTCCACGCTTTTCTGCACTCAAGTAAATGACGTGTTGTCCATGTGTTTGCCATTTGCATTGTTGTTGCTATTCAGATGGCCTATGGCAGGAATGACTCTCGTCAGCTCAGCTGAACGAGTCGCCCGAGTGCCGCATAGTTTTATATGCATCGCCTCACTCACTCTATTGCGACATCTGGCCCGTTGACATCGCTCTGTGTGACCTTAGTCCACATCATATATGCGCAGAGCAACTCTGGCAAAAGTCACCTGCTTAAATGTTGCTCAGCCGAGAGCCGTAGGAAATTCGAGCTTTTCCACTATCCAAATGCCATTAATAATTAATAATAATTTGGCATTATTGGCATGGCAAGGCATGGCATCGCCTGGCTTTTCGTGCCTGCTGTTTAGGAGCTGTCAAAAAATAAATAACCAAATATATCAGAGCCAATTTGTAAAACAGTTCAGATTATTTATTATTGCGACAAAATTATAAAAAGTCTTAGTTGTATATATCTGTATATATATTTTGCCATAAACCGTATCATCGCTAGAGGATCGATCATGTCGAAGCGCATGCTGGCCCGCACAGCTGAGAGGCTGCGCAAGCTGTGCAGGAGGGCGGTGAAGCCGTTGACCAATCAATGGAACGTTTCGATGAGCTCCAAGTCCGCCATTGTGGCGATGTCAAAGTTTGAGCCGGACACGCCGCTGCCCTATAAGCTGCTCAGCGAGCGGGTGGACTGCGTCATAAATCGGCTCAAGCGCCCGCTGACGCTGTCGGAGAAGGTGCTCTACTCGCACCTGGACAGTGCCGGCGATCAGGATATCAAGCGCGGCGAGTCCTATCTGCTGCTTCGTCCGGATCGTGTGGCCATGCAGGATGCCACCGCCCAAATGGCACTGCTGCAGTTCATTTCGTCCGGCCTGAGCAAGGTGGCCGTGCCCTCGACGGTGCACTGCGACCACTTGATCGAGGCGCAGGTGTGCGGCGAGCAGGACCTGAAGCGCGCCAAGGACCTGAACAAGGAGGTGTATGACTTCCTGGCCTCCACCAGCGCCAAGTACGGCCTGGGCTTCTGGAAGCCCGGCAGCGGCATCATTCACCAAATCATACTCGAGAACTACGCCTTCCCGGGCCTGCTCATGATCGGCACCGACTCCCACACGCCCAACGGCGGCGGCCTGGGCGGACTGTGCATTGGCGTGGGCGGTGCGGACGCCGTCGATGTTATGGCGGGCATGCCCTGGGAGCTGAAGTGTCCCAATGTGATCGGCGTCGAGCTGACCGGCAAAATCAACGGGTGGACCTCGGCGAAGGACGTCATCCTCAAGGTGGCCGACATCCTGACCGTCAAGGGCGGCACTGGCGCCATCATTGAGTACCACGGCCCAGGCGTCGATTCCATCTCCTGCACCGGGCAGGCGACCATCTGCAACATGGGAGCTGAGATCGGGGCAACTACTTCGCTCTTTCCCCTAAATGAGCGCATGATCGCCTATTTGTGCGCCACGGGGCGGGGCAACATCGCTGAGGAGGCCACCAAGTACAAGGAGAAGCTCTTGACGCCAGACAAGGACTGCAAGTACGACAAGCTAATCAAGATCAATCTGGACGAGCTGGAGCCGCTGGTGAACGGGCCGTACACGCCTGACTTGGCGCACCCGATAAGCAAGCTGGGCGAGAACTCCAAGAAGAACGGCTATCCCATGGAGATCAAAGTGGGCCTGATTGGATCGTGCACGAACTCGTCGTACGAGGACATGGGTCGCTGTGTCAGCATCGCAAAGGACGCCCTCAGTCATGGCCTCACGTCCAAGGTACCCTTCAATGTCACGCCCGGATCTGAGCAAATCCGAGCGACCATTGACCGGGACGGCATGATCGAAACATTCAACAAATTCGGCGCCACGGTGCTGGCCAATGCCTGCGGCCCTTGCATCGGCCAGTGGGACCGCAAGGATGTGAAGAAGGGGGAGAAGAACACCATCGTCACCTCGTACAATCGCAACTTCACGGGACGCAACGATGCCAATCCGGCGACGCACTGCTTTGTGACCAGCCCAGAGATGGTGACAGCGCTATCCATTGCTGGGCGGCTGGACTTCAATCCACTGAAGGACGAGCTGAAGGACTCCAAGGGAAAGGGCTTCAAGCTGAAGGCACCTCAGGGCGAGGAGCTGCCCTCGAAGGGCTTCGATCCCGGCCAAGACACCTACGCCGCCCCGCCGCCTGACGGCAGCAAGGTGAAGGTGGCCGTAGATCCCAAGTCGAAGCGCCTGCAGATCCTGGAGCCCTTCGCGAAGTGGGACGGAAAGGACTACATCGATCTGACCGTGCTCATCAAGGTCAAGGGCAAGTGCACCACGGATCACATTTCCGCTGCCGGGCCCTGGCTCAAGTATCGCGGTCACTTGGACAACATCTCCAACAACATGTTCATTGGGGCCGTCAATGCCGAGAACAACGAGATGAACAAGATCAAGAACCAGCGCACCAACGAATTCGGCGGCGTGCCAGATGTGGCCCGCGACTACAAGGCCAACAAGGTCAAGTGGGTGGCCGTGGGCGAGGACAACTATGGCGAGGGCTCCTCCCGCGAGCATGCCGCCCTCGAGCCACGCCACCTGGGCGGGGTGGCCATCATAGTGAAGTCGTTTGCCCGCATCCACGAGACGAACCTGAAGAAGCAGGGCCTGCTGGCGCTCACCTTCGCCAATCCCAGCGACTACGACAAGATCCAGCCCACCAGCAAAATATCGCTGCTCAATCTGAAGGACATGGCTCCCGGCAAGCCCATCGAGTGCGAGATCAAGAACGGCGGCAGCGGCGACAAGATCCAGCTCAACCACACCTTCAACGCCGAGCAAATTGAGTGGTTCAAGGCTGGCAGCGCCCTAAACCGCATGAAAGAGAAAATGAAGTAGATAACATTGGAGTACAAAGATTTAAGTATCTGTTTGTGTGTTTTAAAGCCAAAGCAATAAATTGGACCGTAATCGTGCATTTAATAATGTAACAAAGTAAATGAATAAATAATTTAAGAAGCAAATTGCTCTTTGTTGTCGTTATTCTGAATTCCGAATATCCATTTTAAGCTCAAGAGTTGAGTTTATTTTACAGCTAATTAAAGAGCTGCATTGCAGAGAAAAAATAATATTCAAACATATTAAGCTCATTCCGGCTGCAGCACTCCGTCCGGAATAACATCCTGGGCCAGGATTCCTGGCAAATAGACAATAAGCAACGCTTATCAGTAACGCAGCCAACCAGAACTGTAAAACTCGCATGCATAGAGAGAGAGAAAGAGAGAGAGAGAGAGAGAGAGAGAGAGAGAGGAAGAGAGAGAGAGGGAGAGAGAGTGGGGGTATAGAAGTTGTGCAGGAAATTTGCATTTGCGACACTGTACATGAGATGGGATAGAAAATTATTTGCTGCTTTTAATTAGTGCCAAAAAGTCATTCAGGAAATCCAGAGAGCCAACAAAAGGCCATGGCCAGAGAGCAGCAGCACCACACCACACCACACCCTGCACCACAGCACAGCACAGCACTAGCCAGCTTGTCCATAGCTATATGCAACGAGATATCTATGTACATATGCACATGTATGTGTATTTGTATCAACCAAAATGTTGCTGCTGCTGCTGCTTTTTATTGGAATATTTGCACAAAGCCAAACGCCCAATGCCCGACATTCGACTCATGGTGGTCGTGGCCTCTGCTAAATCATTGCAATTTGCGCCGTCTATGCCGAAAATATTCAATTATTAACTCATGATTGGCTGCTGGGCACATACAGACATCGGTAACCAACGGCGATGAATGCGAGTCGAACTGCGAAAGGAGTTAATGGAAAATTATTAAAAATATAAAATTACTAAATTTTAAAATTTTTATCTTTTAAATTTATTAAAATATTAAATTATTAAATTTATAAATTATTTAATCAATAAATTAATAAATTATTTAATCATTAAACTAATAAATTATTAAATTATTAACTTATTAAATAATTTATTTATTAACATTTCAAATTATGAAATTATTAAATAAATAAAATATAAAATTATTAAATTATAAAATTATAGAATTTTCAAATTATTAAATTATTGAATTATAAAATTATAAAATTATTATTTCCTTAATTTATTACATTTTTAAATTATTAAATTTTTATATTATTAAATTTAGTTATTTATTATTAATTTATTTATTTACCTGTCTCCATTTGCATAAACTAAAAAATATATTTATGTATTTTATTTTATGGAACAGTACAGAAAATTCTGGGGTAATATAATGGCAGCTATTAAACACAGAAAATATCAATTGAAAACTTAAAAATAAATATTAATAACGTTAAGGATTTTTCCTTACAAAATATGTATTCCCATATATTAAATAATATTAAAACATAAATAGTCAGAAGGATCCAGTCCAGATATCTCAGTCATTCATTATTTATTTAATATAATTGTAAGTTTGTAGCTCAACATGTTTTTTATTGCCAAGAATCGATCAAGTTCAATTCTCTAGCAGATAATTCAGTCACGCGCATTTCGGATATCTGAACCATCTTGTTAAGCTGCTAGCCGCTCTGTATTGCTGTCAAACCTATCAAGCAGAGTTTTTCGCAAATTGCTTTCGCTTCAGTCACAGACGAGACTCACACAAATGTCGCACATGAATTTCAATTTGACTAACCCATATTTACGAATATTTCTCAGCTGAAGCCAGATGAATTTTGAGCGAAAATTGTAAATTCTTCATTGCACTAAACGAATTTCTTGCCAATGCTGCTCCGTTTATGGATCTGGGAATGCAATGAGTGCACATGTTTGTTTAGCATTGATTTTTAGAATCCAATCAGCTGAGCTCTTTTGAAAATTGAACATGCTTGTTATTGTTGCATTGTGCTACAATTTCAATTGCTTTTCAATTGAATATCTGTTCAGAATGCCAAAAAGTTGAATTGGAATTTCCTCAGAATATTCTCAAAGTACATATGGAATCTGTTTTGCTAAGCTCATTTTCTGATTAACTTATGATATACGGCGGCTGTTAGTGAGACCACAATGCATTTCCCACTCACTAAGCAATACAGTTCTCTAACTCACAAAAGATTTTCTGATCAACAGACACTCGATCAGGATAAACTCTTTTATGCAAATATTTGTACATGAATTCGCCGCGAGTCCTGCGTGTGAAGCAGCTGTTATATAAGGGCCATGTCATCGAGTATCAACAATAATATCGCTAAGCTGACAAGCAACGCAAATTACACATTTGGCTCCACCGATAAGCGTAAATCACGCAAATGACAAGTGGCAATAACATCGACCCACCATAAAATGAAATCCGTACACAAGTATAAAAAAAAAGAAATGAAACGAAATCAGAACAGCAAAAAAAAATAAGAAAAGCAAAAATCCAAACTCTCAACACTTGGCCAACGCACATAAATTGCATTTTGGCCGCTGGCGAGGTAAACAGCCGCAAATGCCACAAAATGAGAGAAGAATCTCGTTGGGGGGTGAGAGAAAATCAGCCAAAACTCAACAATAATCGAAAAATTTCATCCACACTCCCATAAACACTTTGTGTGGTTGTGTGAATGTGTGTGCGTTTGTGTGTCTGTGTGTGGGTAAATCAAAGAAACAAATAAAATGGGCAAATACAAGCAGAAAATCCATAGCAGCAGCTGGGAGGCTTGGGGTGAAATGAGAGAACGTTTTGAACAGCTCGAATTAAGTTAAGCACTTTTATTTATTATTAAAAAAGTTTCAAGCTGCACGCTGTGTTGGCTGGGGTGGAGAAATCAGCCAAATCTGCGCATAATGCTAAGAAAATCCCAAATTTATCGTATCACTTAGATGGAGTGTCATATGGGGGAGATGGAGTGCCATACAGAGCCCCTCGCCCAACATCGAAAGGGGTTAAAATGCGCATTATGAACCCATCGCATCTGTGCGACTCTCTCTCTCTCTCTGTGTCTGTGACTGTATGAATGTATGTGTGTGTGCATGTGTGTATATGTGTTTGTATGCATTCATAATATAACTGTTGATTATTGCGCCAACACGCACTCAGTGTAAGTGAAGCAGCAGCAGCAACGGCAACGGCATCATCCAAAGAGTTTGTCTGCTCGGCACACAGCGCGTATGCGCAATATTATTAGATATTGAAAGCAGCCATCGATGGCAGGCAGCGCTGCCGACGTCCGCCGCCAAGAGCAATTGAAGCCAGCAGCAGCAGCAATACCAACATATGAATTTTTTCTCTCAAGAGCATCTCTGTCACAGCTTCAGCACCCAGCACAAACACGAATGCTTGAAGAGAGTATGCGTTGGGCAGGCAATACCCAGTAGAGCTATACAGAGTCTATTAGAATACTATGCTCTAGAGGAAGTTGCTTTCCGCGAGTCGAGTAACGAATTTAGTCTTGAAATACCATATCTTCTGCATTTCAAGATTACAGGGCACAAGGAGCATATGAAGCCTAGGCTTAGCTTGTCAGCAAAGTTGGATGCAGGCCCCAAGTGCTGTGGCACTGAATAGAAGCGATGAGTGATGAATTCTGGCGTATTATTTATTAATGTAATGCCCCTAAATTTCGTAGAAGCTACTCAAATTTCGCCACAGTCGAGAAATCAGAAATATATAAGTACAGAAATATCTAGGTAAAATCAAACTAATTTAGCAAAGAAGAAATTAGTTTACTTTGGAACAGACAACAGCAATATTTGATTCTAGACAGCTTTCCAGACTCTGAAAGACTTTTTCCTTTTGACATTTTAAAGTTTGGCATGTAAACTGAAGATGTATAGTTAGATAAATTGTGAGACTCGTCATGATATCTCATGCAGTCCATCTGCAACAGCAGCAGCAGAAGCAGCACTCCCTCTTATTGCCCTGCTGCAGCTTAGCATCTCATGTCTCCTGTTGCCCGCTGCCTCTGTGTCTTTTGCGAGCATTCACTTATCGTCCGGCCAATTTCAAAATCAAATCTCGCAAATTCACAGCCAACACGATGAAAAAAATGGAAAAGAGTTTTACAAAAAAAATCTGAAGAAAAAGACGAAAATGCAACGAAATTGCCAGAGCCAACCGAAAATCTAATAAAAGAATAGCTCAAAATCGGTGTGTAAAAATCAAATAAAAGCTGCAACTGCAATGCCAACTGGCTTTTTCTTCTGAAAAGTTAGTTTTTCGCTTCGGTTTTCTTCTTTTTGTTTTCGTTTGGTTTTTTTTTTTTTTTTGTTTGTGCTTGCCTGACGCCAACTTTTGTGCGTTTTTAAATGGCAGAGCCGTTGGCGCAAAAACCATTGGAAACACATGTCCAGCAAACACAGTGTGAGCATTGAGCCAAGGAAGGAGCAGGGCCAGGACTAAGCGATGGCGAGGAGCAGCACAAATGTTTGTGCGCGTTGGTTTGTTGGTTCTTGGTATTTTTGGCCATTACATTAAGTTTGCTATCTCTTAGTCTCTCTCTCTCTGTATGAGTGTGTGTGTGTGTGTTTGTGTGTGGGAATTTGCTCCTTCCCCTCTATTCGACATCCCTTTTTGTTTTTGCCTCTCACTTGCCACATTCATACATATCAGCATTAAGTGGTGGCTCTTACCCGAGTCTTTATGTGTGTGTTTGTGTGTGTGTGAGTGTGTGTGGGCATCTGTATCTTTAACTGTGTTTGCGTTAGTGCTTCTTCTTGCTAGCTGGCAGCTTGCAGAGCCTGGGCAACGGCTGCCTCTAATGGCCAGCGATTCGTAATATTTTTAATATTTGCTCAATAAAATGTCTGACAATTTTTGTCGTTGGCACTTAAACTCATTACATTTATTTGTTTGTTCGCCTCTTTGGCTTGACCAGATAATCCGATTTGTTCTCTGAGCGAAACCAAGCGAAACAAATAAACTCGCTTTGCATACATGAGAAACAAGTCATCAAGATACTCTGTATACAAGTTTTTATCAGTTGAATATGCATATCTAAAAAAAATTCAATTGTTCAAATA